CATTAATGTTCAATAATGATCAAATCCACATTTATTTTGTGATTTACGAATAATGTCTGTTGACTTGGGTCGTGAAGGTTTGTGACTTTTAAAATATGCATCCCCAGAAAAAAAAAAAAAGTTTGGGAAACACTGGTTTAGATCATATTAACAGCTCCTTTTACCTTTTGTTTAGAGGAAATTGGAAATTCCAAAGCTCAAATTATCCAGATGATTCAATTAAAAGTATATAAAATATAAATACACAGAAGCGCACCTCCTGTATCACCACATGACATCACAAGGTGGAACAGATGTTTTCAGATTGAGAAAAGAACTCAGCCTAAATACGCAGGGTTTGTGTGTTAAACATGTGAATGAAACAAAACACAACTCCAGGTAAGTTTCTGAGGAAGTAACAACATTAGAACACAGATCAGAAAGTAACTTAACACGGGCCTATAAAATCTGTGACTTTTCTGTGTACTTCTTACAGTCAGAGTCTCAGGGGATCCATACAGTAGATACTTTGCTCTGTGATATGTGACTATGCTATAATTGCATCTGCTCCACGGAGACTGGGGTATTGTGTTCAGTAATATTAAACCCACCAGGAGAGACTAAAACAGACAAAGGAGCGAGGTGGGAGGAAACGAATGAACTCTTGAGCTGGTCTGGGTAAAGTCTGCCTTAGCTGGAGAATTTGATCTTCTGTGCATGTTTGTTTTGATGGGGAAACTGGAAGAATCCCACCAAAACACATGGAAAAATCATAAAGTAAAGTTAAAAATGCGGTGAGTGACCAAAAAGTGACTTCTTGCCATGGTTTATGGTTCAGCTTTCAGTCTTTAAAGCAGACCTATTCTGAAATATTGACTTTTCAGAGCTTTTAAGCATCTTGTAGTTGTTTCAATCTTGTTTACAAGTAGCTCACCCTGGGACTCATCTCCAGATCTTGAGCTGGTCTTGGTCAGGTCTAGCATGATTCATCAGACGGTTTCACTTTGGGGAAACCGTCTGACCTCGCAGCAATAGGATTCGATCGCTCGACGGTAGGCGGGTACTTTTTTTATTTAACCAATCGCTGCTATTTGGTTGTGATGTATGTAATGCACCACTAACGGGGCTAACTGGTATATTAAGCTTTTCCCAAATCCCGTAGGAATAAGAACAATAATGTCTTTTCCCTTGATAAAATTGACCAAACATTCTCTTTGTTCCGGCTTTAAATCCTTGAGCTCGGGAATCGTTGCCAACACAGAATGTCTGTCTTCGTCTACATCCATCTCGACCGCTTTGTTTACTGTTGTGCTGTTCCACAAAAGGAACCCAGACAGGAGTTTGAGTTTGACGTCATGGCTTCACAGCTCTTCACTGATTGGCCAGTGCGCGGTCTACAACTTTCGGGGTTCTTACAAACTGTCTAGTGTATTTTGATTCCTGTCCTAGTTGCTGGAGAGAAATGAAATTGAGTGGAGGCACTAGGTGGCACCAGTCTGGCTCGGTCAGGTCTACCGTAGCTGGAGAATTTGATCTTTTGTGCATGTTTGGGTTGATGGGGAAATGGGAAGAAACACACCCAAACACATGCAGAAATCCAGAAAAAATATCACCCATTAAGTGTCAAAGGTGTAAAAAGTTAGGGTAACTTGGGGTAGCAGTTAGTAGAGTGTTTGTCCATTGATTTGAAGGTTGGCAGTTCAAATTCCATTCTTGACATTGGCGGTAGAGCGCTCAGATCCACAGACCCTCTGTTTGGCGGTAGGATTCCAGTATGATGTAAATCACTTTGAGAGATTTGAAGATGGAAAAGGGCTCTATAAACATTCTGATTCACTATTGACCATTGTTAAAAAAGTAAGAAGGTAACATTAAAGATGTGTTGAGTGTAGGGATGTAACAATAACTGAATATTGTGATATAGTATCGTCAAAGACCTCACAATAATACTGTGGGGCGTCTATATATCGGTTTACAAGTTCTTTTGCTTAAATGCATTTTTTTTTTTAATAGAAGCAATAGCTAATAAACATACACTACATATGTCAACTACATAGCCCATGATATTGATGGTGCTCCACATACAAAACGTTCGCTGCAAACTCGGTATGATTTAGGCAGTCAAAGGTTTCCTTTTTCATCCTTCCTGTGGATCAATCCTGCCCATCGCCTTCACCTTTCACTATTTTTTAATTCCGTTGGGAAGAGAAACAGTTTGAATGGAGGTTTGCAGTCACACACATCTGATTCCCTTTTGCAGTTATGGAGTTTGCAAACTTCTGAAGCCCGTTTCTCGACTCGTTTTCCGCTGTTAGAACATCCAACAACCACACAACTATGATGTCAGAGTCCCAAAACTAAAATCTGACAATATCAGAACCAGAAACAAGGATTACAGGATTGCACATGTTTTTAAGACTTTTATATCTTTAATCTGCAAATGTTGTACCGTCTTATATTTCTATTCATGTTACAGCTGCTGTGTGAGTGTTTTCTGTTTGTGCTTTTGTTTCATATTGCCTCTTGGCCAGGTCGTCATTGTAAATGACAAAATGTTCTCAACTGACTTACCTGGTAAAATACTGAATAAATAAATTAAAATAAAATAAAAAACAAAAGCGATATGGTTCAAAAAACGTGAAAAGATCGGCTTTGACAATAGACACATCCCAGTGGGAAAACAAACATGGTGGTTTGATGATCATTTTTTTCGGAGGATCCTTCCCAGTTTGCATTGTGTGATGACTGGAAGTCTGAAATTCAGGATACATGTATTCGTGGGATTTTGACAGTAGTAAATCACACCAACACAAAAAAGTGTCCTGTCTACAATTATATCAGCCTCTCCAAAATATCGCAATAAATATCTTAACGTGAGCTACATATCGGGATAATATCGTACCGAGAGATTTGGTTGAGTTGAGTGACAAAAAAAACAAAAAGAAATGTTGCTATGGTTTACTTTTCCTTCTCATTTACCCTCTCGAAGTTGTTATTCCGAGTGATGTTTGCATGTTTTAAATGATCTGTGCTTCATTCTCCAGCTGTATTTTCTTAATGGGTGATAGACGTTGGATGTGGCAGCGTCGCAGAGTCATTTGGCGATATTATTCTGCTTTATAGTTCAGTCTTCAAACGTTGTAGAATTGCACGCTTTGCTTCACTTTTCAATTCCATTTTTGTGTTTTCAGTTAAATATTACAAGAATAGAAAAGTTGCAAGCCGGTAATTTTATGTCGTCAATACCTGATGTTGAAAAAGTCATTTAGTTTGACTGAATTTTGGTACTTGAAAATGCTATAGGTGCATTTTCTTTCGTCCTATAGAGCGCCGTGTTTGGTATGGACTTGGTTTTAATATTTGATATCTTTGGCTCTCTCTTATATAAACCACTAAAATAGCAGCACAAGCTTTGAGAAATGTTTTTCTAATGGACTGCCCTCTTCCCCCTCCCTCGCTCTTTGTCCCTCTTTCTTTACCCCATCTCTCTCTCTTCACCCTCCCTTCACTTTTTCTCTTCTCTCTCCCCTGTCTCTGTCTCTTTATTCATTTCTCAATTCCCTCCTATTCTCACCCTCTTTCTTCCCTCCTTTTCTCTCCTCACTTTCTCCCTCATCTCTTTTTGTCTCTCTTCTTCTCTCCTCTTCATTTCTCTCTCACTCCCTCTTTCTCTACGCCATCTCTCTCTCTCTCTTCACCCTTTTGCTCCTCTCTCCCTCTCGCTGTCTCTTTATTCATCTCTCAACTCCTTCATTTTCTCACCCTCTTTCTCTCAACTGCCTCCCTCCTCCTCTCTCCTCCCTTTCTCTCTCACTCCTTCCCTTTCTCTCCTCACATCTTACTGTCTCTCTCTTTCTCTCCTCTTCATTTCTCTCTTACTCCCTCCCTTCCCCTTCCTCATCTCTTTCTGTCTCTCTCCTTCTCTCCTCTTCATTTTTCGCTCCTTCCTTTCTCTCTCACTCCCTTCCTTTCTCTCCTCATCTCTATCTATCTCTCTCCCTCTCTCCTCTTCATTTCTCTCTTCCCCTTCTCTCCCCATCTCTTTCTGTCTCGCTCCTTCTCTCCTCTTCACTTCTCTCTCCTCTCTTTCTCCCTGTTCCTCCTCTCTCCTCCCCTTTCTTACCTCTCCTTCCTCTCTCACTCCATCTTTACCCTTCCTCTCCTTCTTTCCTTCTTCATCTCTCTCTCTCTCTCTCTACATCTTTCTGTTTCTCTCCTTCTGTAATCCTCATTTCTCTCTCCTCCCTTTCTCTCCCCATCTCTTTCTGTCTCTCTCCTCTTCATTTCTCTCTCCTCCCTTTCTCTCTGTCACTCCATCTCTTTCTGTCTCTCTCCCACTCTCCTCTTCATTTCTCTTTCCTTTTCTCTCTGCATCTCTTTCCGTCTCTCTCCTCTTCATTTCTTTCTCCTCTCTTCCTCTCTCACTCCATCTTTTCTCTTTCTTTCTTTTTCTTTCTTTCTCTCATCTCCCCATGGTTCTCTCCTTCCCTCTCTCTCTCTCTCTCTCTCACACACACTCTCCTCACATTCATCATTCTCTCCTTCTCATTCTCTTTCTCTCTGTCTTTCTCCTTCCTCTCCCTCTCACTTCTTCTCTTTCTCTCATTTTTCTCTCCTCCCTTTCTCCCTACTCCTCCAAATCTCTTCCTCTCCTCTCTATCTCTCCTTTTACACCTCCTCCTTCCACTCTTACTCTATCTCTATCGTTCTCTCTCTCATCTCCCCATGGTTCTCTCCTTTCTCCACACTCTCACTCTCTCTGTCTCTCTCCTTCCTCTCCCTCTCACTTCTTCTCTTTCTCCCTCCTTCTCCATCTTTCCGACTTAACCCCATCTCTTTCTCTCGTGTCGTTCTCTATTTTTCTCCCTGCCCCTGTCGTCTCTCTCTCTTTCTCTCTCTGTGTCTCTTGTCTCCACATCTCTCCCTCTTTCTCTTTCTCTGTCTCTCTCTCTCTTCTCTCCGTCCCCCCCGGTTCTGTCCATCTGCGTGTCCATATTGCGGCGCTGTGTTGGCGGCGGCAGACTCCACATTTGGCCTGCTGCTCGGCGTGTTCGTGCTCTGCGGTTTGGCTCTGGTGGCGCTCCTCTCCTTCGTCTCCTGGAGGTTCTGCTGGGTCCCGTGGAGAAACAAGCCCCTTCTCTCGTCGTCCACCTGCGGCCGGGCCCTGTCCCCCTGCGCCCCGGAGCTGCGCCTGCTCACGTAAGCCAATCACAACACGGCTATTTATAGACGCCTGGTGCAAAAGGTTATGGTCATGTGACGGAAAAGGCAAAGTGCAATTAAGTTAAAGCACAACTATAATACGAAAATGACTTTATAAAGCTTTTATTTATGATATAGTTGGTTCCTCTTCTCATTTACCCTCTCAAAATTTCATTTGGAGTGATTCATGCATGTTGAAGTAGCCTAAACTTTATCTGTTATCACCTCCACCTGTACACGCCCACTGCTCTCTTTATTTTCCTTTTTTTCCCCCTTAATAGTTGATACATGTAGGATTTGGGCCCATTTATCATTTGTTCTTTTCAATTGCAATTAAGAATAAAAAATAAAAAGAGAAAACAGTTTATTTCATTTTTCCGTGTTAGTGTCACACACACACAAAAAAAAAGATTTTGTCCTCTATTTCCAATATTTAATTTAAAGTTTACTTCAAATAACACCAATCAAAAACAGTCATTGTGCCTTTTATAGCAACGTGTTTACTTTCGCGTCTTAGAAAGTAATTGTTGACAGACCCGTGTCAACCGGGTGGGCAAACCTGGCAATTGCCTAGGGTCCCCAGCTTTGGAGGGCCCCCTGATAACGACTGGTTATGTCTTCAAATAACAGCAATAAAATATTACTAATGCTTAGTAAAAATAATAACAATATGTGTGTGACATACTTTTTCTTATGTTCTTATTGAGCTTCTTATTAATGTCTGCATTTATTTGATTGCCTTTTGAAGTTATTTGTACATGTGTATACACTGTAAACATTTGGTATTGTGTTAATGTTATTTGGCAAGTGTCTTCACCGGGCAGGGCCTCACGTACCCCTTTGTCTAGGGCCCCCAGATTCCTTGAAACAGGCCTGACTGTTGAACTCCCTGAAGAGAAACAGGCAGCGAGGTGATAAGCTCCTAGCCAGGCTGGCACCACCTAGTGCCTCTGCTCAATTTCATTTCTCTCCAGCGACTAAGTCAGGAATCAAAATACACTAGACAATTTGCAAGAACCCCAGAAGTTGTAGACCACACACCAGCCAAACAGCAAAGAGCTGAACCAACCCGAGTTGCGACACCAGACTGTATACACTATCCTCCTTTGGACTTACTTTGTCAAATACAAACTTTGCATTTTTTATTGCACCTTTAATTCGCAAGTTCACCTCACAGAAATGATAATGATCACTGACAGACAGTTCACTCTCTGCTTTGTTTGCTGTTGTGCCGGTAATTACTTGGACACCGCTGAATGTTCCGGCGCATTACATACGTCACTGACAAATAGCAGCGATTGGTTAAATAAAAAGAAAGCACCCGCCTACTGTCGATCAAACAAATCCTAATGCTGCGAGATCAGACGGTTTCCATGAAGTGAAACTGGCTGATGAATCAGGCTAGGGAAAAACAACAGTAATAGCAGTATTATATTACATGGTTTGTGATTCAGTGTTCAGTAGTGACTAAAGCCATGAAACACTGGCCCAAAATATAACACTCAGCAGAAATTAAATCAAATGAAATGAATTACTTTAGGGGAAAAAAGTAATTAACGAACATAGCCGTGAGCCTGTTGACTATAAATATATTGACTATAATAAAATGTGTGGACGAAACATCAGATTTTAGTTTTTAGTTAATTACCAGACCATAAAAGGACCACAATTTACACAGGAACGTCCATAAAAATGAGAAATCATATGCAGACATTTGGTGCAAACTCAAAATGATGTAATGCTGACAACAAACAACAAACAAAAACATAAAATGGAAGTTAAGTGAAGATTTGTGGGCCTACTTATTTATAAAACCTGTCATTTCCTCCTCTTCGTTTAGTTTATTTAGTTTATTTTAAAGGAACCATGTGCAGGAGCTTTAAACCCACATGTGAACACAGCCTATGCTATTTATAGAGCTTTATTCTTTATCTTCTCTTATCTTTTGTCTTATATTGTGTTTCCATGACAGGCCTAACCTCTCACCGTCCCCCCTGCCCCCGCCCCAGTCGCCCATCACCATGGCGACGGAGAAGGTGAAGGACCCTCTGGGCTCGGTGGGGTTCCTGGAGGCCGCCGTGAAGATCAGCCACACGTCTCCGGACATCCCCACCGACGTGCAGCTCTCCATGAGGGAGCACTTCCTCCGGAGAACCCAGCGCATGCAGAGGCAGACCACGGAGCCCGCTTCCTCCACCAGGTCACATACACACACTACTACACATACATACAAATACTAATACTATATAACACCTGTACACACATGCAGAGGCAGACCACGGAGCCCGCTTCCTCCACCAGGTCACATACACACACTACTACACATACATACAAATACTAATACTGTATAACACCTGTACACACATGTAGAGACAGACCACGGAGCCCGCTTCCTCCACCAGGTCACATACACACACTACTACACATACATACAAATACTAATACTGTATAACACCTGTACACACATGTAGAGACAGACCACGGAGCCCGCTTCCTTCACCAAGTCACATACACACATATATACATACATACAGATATTAATACTATATAACACCAGTACACAACACATACAGAGAGAGACCACTGAGCCTGCTTCCTCCACCAGGTCACATACACACCCTAATACACACACATATGCATGCATACAGATATTAACACTATATAACACATGTACCCAGTGCACGCAGAGGCCGAGCACCGAACCTGCTTTCTTCACCAGGTCACAGACACACAGAAAGATACATACTATCCTCTTATATAAGCACATGAACCCAGGGCAGCAGGTTATAAACATTTCTGAAATGAATAACTAAATAATTACCATTACCATCCAGGATAAAAGTGGTGTCATTATTAAAAGACAGAAATGTGACTTTGGTCCATTAAAAGTACTTTTAGCCACAAGATAAATAACAGTTTAATGAGTGCATTGTTCATTCATTCCTTAACCCTGGTGTCTCTCACCCAACAAACTACAATATGCAGAGGTCTGAGCTGATAGAATCACCAATGCTGGAGCTTTTGAGTGTGCATGTGTTGTAAAACAAATGTTTTATTGTTTTATAAAAGAAATTACTCACAACTGAACCTGTGTTGCCAGAGCCTTAACCTCCATGCTGAGGACACATCCAAGTTTGTCTCATTCTCAGAATATGGACAGGCCTTGTCTCATGTGAAAGCTCAGAACCTCCAGAATTCCTCCCTGAGCTGCAGAAGCTGCACTGGCACTGATTCATGATTGGCTGCAGGAGTTTGGGTTTAAGGAGGGACCATTCAGATCAGAGCGAAGCATTTTAGGTTTAAACACACTGGATTTCAGCATTGAAACTGGCAACGCAAATGAGAGACTCGTGTAAGGCTTTCTGATTGGGCTAAGAACCAAAATACCAAATTATAACATAAATCAAAGAGACATGTCCAAAGCTTTTGTAAGTAACAATTAATCTGCAGTAAATTGTTCTCAGTAAAAGCTATTTGATTTGCACTTGTCTACTTCATTTTTGGGGACACAAATCAAACATTTACAGAATTTAAAATCCAAATCATACATACAGTTACTTTAAATCAAATGTTTAAAAAAATAAAAAGTTAAAAGTAGTGCAGTATAAATTCCTTTTCAATCTGAATAGGCATTATTGTACATTATTGTATTTATTGTAAAATTGTGATATCCGTGACTCATCCATATGCACTTGTACCTGGGTTCAGATTCTAGTGCAGTCACTTTGAGCATGTTTAATGAGCGATAAGCCATGCTGCATGTGACATTTCCATGATACATTGTAATCCAGTGCAGCTGCCCCACAGCTCAGAGGCTGCAGGGCAAATCAATACCCCCATCTGGAAGCACTCTCCCAGGGACACGCAATCAGCCTGAGCCCGACCTGTTCTACTGGAGCTCACTGCAACATTTAGTGTACGGCAAAACTGTTTCAGGACACACTATGAAACTTTTCTGTTGTGGCGCCACCAAAAGTATAATAATAATAATAATATAATATCAATAATGCTTCTCAAAGTGTTACTCTGCAGTCATTATTCATTCACTCCACACTCCACACCTGATGATAAGGTTGGTGGTAAACTGCTAATCTCTCACACACACACGCATACACACACACACACACACCCCATACACACTGTTTCAACATGGAGGTGTTACTGCTTTGCCTCACTGTATTTCATTAAATTCATCTTTCTTAAGAGGTGATATCAGGCAGCGTTACAGGTCAGATGTGGAGAGGTGTGTGGAAAAGCCGAGGAATTCTGCATCGGTCATCTGTAATCAGACAGAAAAACAGCAACTTGTTCCATAGATTTTTGACATGTCCTCCATCTAAGTTTAAACTACGGGCTGTTTAAAATGTGGTGGTGCCAGATAAACACAACTAGGGGTGTATCTGTAAATGTATTCATGCCGAACCGTTTCGATACAGGATGTTTAGTTCGGTGCAGGGCTGTGCACGAGTGAATTCGCGCAATTTGTGTATGTTTACATTCCGCCACTACATGTGCAGCTACACGGAGGACTCGATTCTTTAATATTCATGATGGAACTGGTCCGTGATTAGTCTTTCCGCAGCGCTTTATAGTTAAGGCGGCCACCCCCCCTTGACTACATCCCTCTGAACCATGTGAATCCTCGCAAAATCATTAAGAATTTCATCGATTACGTTCATTTTAACCGACAAACCGAATGTAAGTTGCTGTGCGTAGCGTGACCAAACAGGTCCGTACATGTGTCTCTCTGCACTCAGAAGGAGCGAGCAAACACAAACAGTTGGTCAGTCTGCAACGTGCCGAAGCACAAATGCGTATTTAATGATGACTTGTACAAGAAATTGGGACAAGTGGGAGGTCATGTGCACAGTGTACAAAGCAGCACATATGTTTCGGTGACCAGTGTCCAGGGCATTCGAGGAAATTTTCTTAATCAATCGTCAGAAGAATTAACGATCGATTATCGATTAATCATTAACGTTTTTATATTAAAATGATCATCATTATTATTACTATCTGCACTACTAACCTGCATAAATAAATTCAACTTTAGGACATATAAACCGTAACCACTCTAGAGCCACATCAGCCCGTTTGACATTATAATGTGTTTAATTCAGTTTTGTTCAAATCTCACAGAAACAAAACTTCAAACCGCATCGCTAATTTGCATAAACTAAGCGAAGATAAAACTACTGCTCTTGTGTCGCTGATGTGGTTCAACTTCTGTCAGATTAAAGGACATGACTCAGGTGAATACAGGTTAGTGTGACCAGATTTGTGTTTGTCAAAACCAGGACAGCGTACGGGGGGAGGGAGGCAGGGCCTGTCATCGACATTGAGCGACTCTCACCTGGCAAAACTTTTTCCACTGGACACAGAAACATATGTGCTGCTTTGTACACTGTGCACATGGACTCACACTTGTAACCGACCGGAACGGAAAGTGTGGAATTTCTTGTACAAGTCATCGTTAAATACACATTTGCACTTCGGTACGTTGCAGACTGACAAAAAGTGTTCTCACACACATGCATTCACTTTCGCTGGCACGGAATCCCCCCCCCCCCCCCCCCCCCCCCGTAAGCAGATCTGCACTCACTGCAGACAATGTGGACAAGTTGGTTTTTCTGGCCAAAAATATGAAGATTTAGTAAAACTTCATGCTGGAACTGTTAGTGCTGCAATTTACTTTTTGAAAAGTTTTGTTTACTGTTTTAAAGGAATTTATTTTTTTTTATTTAAATTTATTGCATGATGTTTAAACAAATTGATGGTTTAATAAACACACAAATAAACAACAAGCAAAGTTTTACATTTTGTTCCTATACAATACCAAAAAGTGACCTCAAAATCGCAGTACGTACCGAACTACCGAACTGTGATTTGTGTACCGTTACACCCCCAAAAACACATCCTATTTTCACATTTACACACGGTTCTGCACACTAGTCCTACTGTTAATGTAACTGTCCTGAAATCCACAGAGGTCCGAGCCACCATGATCCTTATTTTCACCACAGCGCAAATAAACAAGAGCAGTAACTCCTTGTGCATGTTTAAGTACAAGCCTCTGTGTTTATGGTCCCTTAAGGAATCAGGTTATAGATTTCTACAGTGAAATGTCCTTCCTCTTCACTCCTGAAAGAAGCTCATTTTGGCCAAGACCAGATAAGAAAACGCACACGGGGACAGCATTATGCCACCGCTGGACCTTTTATACACCGATAGTGCAGCAGGAGGCTTTGTGAAGGCGATTTAGTGCACACAGAATTAATTATGTTAATCAATTATATTTAGAGCGGCTCATTCAAACGCATTCTGCTTAAGTAAGGGCTAATAATGTGTAATGGTTTCTTCATGACACACAATGAGAGACTGGAGAGAGGCAAAAGAAGCGGTAATAAAACTAAGACCACATGGAGCACAGAATGAGCCAGAAACGCTATTTTCTGAATTGCCGTGACAGATGTTAACGTCAGGCTGAAAACAAAAAGAATAAAATGTAACGCTGTTTTGGAAGAAATATCCAAATTTATGATCCACAAATGTCGAATCTTCTCGTTATTTGTGGAACTGGCTTCACAAACCTTTCGTATTAATCATGTGGCCAGAAGTCCTTTCAAACGGCAACTGTCTCATCTTTAGTGTTGAGAAATGACACCGTGCACTTTCCGAAGCTTGTGAAAAAGTAGATCCCTTTTGTTTATCTACTGTATACTGACCTATAAGACATTGCGCTTTGTGTCAGTTTCTGTTTAATGAAGATAGGCCCAGTTTGGCTATTTTTTTAAGGTTTTACATTTTGCTTCCTGCTGGAAATCATGACATCACATCATGCTCCATAATTGTTAAGTAGCAACCACGATATACACTAGGTGCTTTAATGTACACAGAAATGATTATTTGTCAAATAAAAATATAAGAAAACACTTACTTTTTTGTTGAAATCATGTTTAAAGTGTAAAAAATATATAAAATCAGTGATGTTCATTTTGTCTTCTTATGTACTTTAACTTCTTGGGTTCTTTTTAAAGACAATGCATTAAAGTGTGTTTACCTTGTTGACGTGTTTCGGCTGCCGCTGCTGCATCTTCAGGACTGTCACCGGTGTTGGTGGTGATTTGTCAAATATCTACCACATTCTGGATTGGGACGGGGCTCGGGTCTTTGGATCAGAAAACAACAAGTTCAAACACT